TATACCATTTGAATAGCCCTACGTTAATTATTCAGCGCGTGACCGGGAGCGGGCGGCGCGCGGACGGCGCGGGCGGCATGGGCAGCGCGGGCGGCCCGCTCCCTCGTAAATCAAACTAGCCATTCGCTATTCGCTTATGCATTATACAATTTTATTTGTGCTAGCCCGCTGAATAGGTAATAAACTATGGCAGGTGAAACGTTCAGCCGAATGCCGCGAGAATTTGAATCGTACGCAAACACTTGTTTACCGGCCATTGATTTACAATGCGTTTTGTTCCGCACGAGTTTTGCGTGTGTAATATTGCTAATTTTTTTTCTTCAACCCTTCTTAAATATGTAATGCTAGGAAATGTTTTATTACACACCTTTTTAGAGAAATGTATCTTTTTGACTAAACGTATGCAAAAGTATGATAAAAGTTACGATTTCTATGATCTCGGGCAGGTTTTAGTACGTATTTTAGAAAAAAGGTCGATGTTGATGGAGCAGCATTTGCACCGGAGGAAGAATTACTTTCTTAAAATGAGAATATGAAAGAAAAGAAACTTAACGAAACCAGATAATCATATCAGAACTAAGCAAAGTTGGATTATGTAACATGCTCTAAAATTGGACATAAACTATTTGCTAAGCTAAGTCGTTAAAATACCAAAATTCCGTTCAGATCGTTGTAAAATTCGTGTATACATTGTCGGACTTTATCGGGGCAACTATTAGTAGTTAGTTTTGCCGAGGTCTCTTCATCAGGGGGCGCGGCGGAGCGGCAAATTCACTCCGACCCTCGTTCCACACGTGGCTGCCTGCATCTCAGACGCTTCTCACGATTATCCTTACGTTTAATTTAAATGCTTAAATTGTTATACCGTTTTTTAACTCTATTTCGCTGTAAATCTAAATAATTACAATAAATGTCATATTAGTACATACATACAGTTTAGTTTCCACTCGTTTCTTGATATTTATTTCATCATCCACTGAGGGGCTTGGATCTTACACTATATTTCTTTACAATTAGGTAAATGTTAAACAATTAATTATTTTGTATTTTGATACTCATTGTACTCTTTAAAGTGACGTTAATTTATTTCTTCGTTAACTGCGCTGGTTGTATCGGTCTTTTCAATAATAACTTCCATATTTCTACAGAAACGTGAGAGGAATTTAAAAGCAATTAAACAGAAAGAATTGTATAAAATAAAATACAAACGTGCTACCAATTATAGTTACAACGTGCAATTAAAGTAAAACATCGAAATTACCAACATTCTCGAGCGTAATGACCTCTTGTTACAATTATCATTATCAATAAAGCTATTGATTAATTGAAAACAATGCGAAACGCTGATCCGCGTTCATTTTAATGAAATGGGAAGTGAAATGATCATTATTACGTGGAACGTTTTTACTGTATTGTAACCCTCGTTGGCGGAATTACCTGACATTACCATTGCGACAAATATTTACAACAAACGGCATCATTCACTTCGGCAACCACAATAAATTCCTGAATTACGTTTACTGTAAATTGAGAATATAGACTTAAAATTTAAAACACATTTTGTAGAAAGAAAGCATATTCTTTTAACTACTAAGCATTGACAAACAAAATTTCTGAATGCAAGTTAATTATTTTTTACGATTTATTAAAAAATACTGCAAAATCCATAAAATCATGATCATCTATTATTATGACATGAAAAACATTTTTTTACTATAAGTAACTACAAAAAATTACACCAAAAATATATCTATGTACGTATTTATATACGTGTCTTAAAACAGCTAGTATAGTCAAGCCCTAAGGACGCACTTTGTTCTTACAAAGAAGTTTAAGAAGTTGTTCAACAGATGTTCTGCGTGACTTTTATACCCAACACTCGTATAATAATAATTCTTTACATTTTGTGGGAAAATAAATATTGTAAGTTTGTTTCTACTATTTTCAGAGTAGATTTTTAGATCGTTTATATTAAAAATATTATTTTTTATACTACACTGATATACCTAATATTTTTTGATGCTATGTGAGGTTTAAAATGTTTTATAATATTCCTACCTACTTATTACATCCTCCGCTTTCTCGTATTTGTGCTGTTACTTGAGTATAAAGAATAAAAGCGATAATAAGTATTGCGATTCGAAACAAAAGCGACAGCTATAAAGTGTGACGTAAAAAGATTATAATTAAATGCACTGCAAGATTTTAAAAAGAAACTTCGAAAAACTCTCTCGTGTAATGGAAATCGTGCCCCACGGCCCCGGGGGCATCGCGGATTCCCAACACAAAAGACTCAACAAAAAGGTTCTGCCGTCACATGAACATTGTAAAACTCGCCCTCTTACTCACTTCTAGCAACACACACAAATACAAACTTTAAGCCGATTGATTAAGTCACATTTTTGAGCTCCACTAATTGTATACGAACAGTTTTTTCCAATCCGATAATGCGACCTTAGCGTCGGGATCATGGTTTACTACAAATTGTATTAGAGTAGTAGATTTAACTATTTACGCGTGTCCGAGCTGGGTACCGGCTACCTTTACAACCTACAAAGAATAATAAAACTATAGTGTTATAAATTTTCGTTGTTTTCTATTACTGAAAGTTGCATACTATTCCTAAGATGAAAGTTGAATGGATTTTTTTTTTAGTAGATTTAAAAATTCTCGTAAAAACTCTATACAATTTAATACAATCTTTTGTCTAAAGCAGGAATTAAATTTCTCAGCAGGCTAAGTAGCGGGAAACAGGTAGTATTTTTTTAGAAATTTAAAGAAAATTCCATCCAACTTTCCAGTTGATTCCTAGCAAAAATTACAACACGAAAATTACGCGGTAATTTACTTTCCTCTGCGAAATTACGAAACAATACACGTGGAGTGAACCGTATTACCCTTTGTCGATTGCGGTCCAGACAAGAGAAATACGTAAACCGATACGCGATATATTGCTGGCATTATGTAGTGCGGGCCGTAATTGAGTTATCCAGTTAATCCGAATGAGTAGTTATATGGGTGAGTGGTTAGTGATTATATTAGCTGGGATACTTACGTCCAGAATGCAGCCCTCGCGCCGCTCCAAGCTTCTTCACAAATCGATTATCTCTAGCCGTCTCGCATTCCACGGATATCGCCTTGATCTCGATTCTCGATTCCACTATGAAGGTAAGTATTAAATATCTCTCTAGATGCGTTCATGCTCGGAATATTTTGTTGCAGGTATCACTAGTCTTGCATTACTTTCTCGTTCCTATTTTCATACGATAGCTTCCACAAGCGTCTACCTTCGTCTGTATATTTATACGAGTATAATTATATCCCATTATTTTAATTCAATCAGATAATTGGCATATTATTATTAATCTTAAAGTGCCACCTTCTTCAACATCAGGGAAACTTGCACACTTGAGACCGCGACTCTGAAAAACAAACGGACTTTAGTTATAACAATATGGAGTTGTTTTATTTTAATGCCATCTGTTTAACACAAATTTTCCGAATTCCTTTTAAAAGCTGCATCTATAGAATGTATTACACTAAATCAATAACATTTAGACGGCCCATACTTGTCGTAATACTTTGTTATTAGATGATATGACTATAATAGGCTGAAGCATTGCTCTCGAGCGGGCACGCAATGGATTGTTATCTCACTGGCCTGTATCAAATCTTGAAAATCGCTCGGTATTGTTGTCTTTTGTGTTCATGTCCGCATTCGTTTTCCATCGCACACCATTATTCACATTAAGTGGACAGATCTCGGGTCAGATCCAGGCGCAAGAAAAGCACAAAAAGTGCCCGCTTTATCCGACCATGATAAATCTACTTCAAATCCGAGAATAGCGTCTTTTATGAAGGAAATTGAAATAAACCGACCGTGCGGATAACGGCTAAGTAAGAAGATCGGGATCCTTTTAGAATATATCGGCGAATCATTTTCATTCATCACCATATTTTAATGCGCCGTTATCATGTTAATTGTTTGTTGAACATTGTAGCGGCAATTTATATTATTGATCTAATATATGATTGGACATCACAAAAACAGCCTATGCAATATTTTTAACTAGCTTTCGCCCGCGACTTCGTCCGCGTGGTATTAAAAAAAACAAAAGTGATTAGCCTATATGTTCTTCCAGCAGAATATCATTTTATCGAGTTCCGTTCAAACGTTTAGGCTACAAACTCTAACAAACATCCATCTATCCTTCTAAACTTTCGCATTTATAATATTAGTAAGATAAGATAAATTTATAGTAAAAAAGTTTAAAAAGGTTTCCTTTTTCGAAGCAACTTAATACATATAGATTTACGTCCGTACTTTAGTGGCGGGAGAGAAATCGAGCGTGAAATGGTTACCACACGAAGCAGTTGTCTCGTGAACAAACGAAATAGCAGATCGCCGGCCGGCGTTTGGCGGAAAATTGGCTGGCGCAACTGAATATAGCATGCTCGTAACTTTAGATAGGTCTGCGTTTATTACCTACAGAATGAAATAGTAAAGGTAAACTATTTTTGTTCCTCGCATTCTTATCATGTTCATATAAAACGATTACGTTTTGTTTGCTTCAAAAATAAACGATTTACTTACAAGGCCTTTTTATAGTTTCACTAGCTTTCGCCCGCGATTCCGTCCCCATGTATTAAAAAAGTAAGTAGCCTATAGATTCTTTCAGACTATTTTCATCTATGCCAAATATCATTAAGATCCGTTTGAGTAAGTCTTAAATAATTTCATCACAATCATATCATTCCTTGAGTTGTAGGGCCTCAATGACCTTTTTTGTAATTCAAGAATGATAACACCAAGTGTGACGAGGAACCGGGTCACATAAGTGAAAAAACATGTTGCGTTCAATTTAGATAAGAATTAAGGGGATGTCAGTTTTTATCATATTTAAATGCAACCAGCAATAAATCCTTTTTTTTATTTAAAAAAAAAGGATTTATTTTTTTGGCTTTTGTGTGTCAAAGTTAATTTGACATTATTATTTTTTTATTACAATTTGACATTTATTATAAATTTTTGCTCAATAATAAATTGATATTTTCAAAATTATTTTTAATATGTCTAATGAAGAGAAACGTGTCGAAATGGTTCCAAGTGATACTGAAATTATTGACAACAATGTAATGCGACACTCATTGTCTTCTATTACAAGGGAACTACAAAGGTAAATGTAATAGTAATATAGTAGTAATAGTAGTAGCAGTTGTAGTAGGGGGCTACGGTTTCCGCGAGTCCACGGCTACGGCGGTAAGACACCCATGTATACAGAATGTGTCACCACCGTGCACTGGAGACTTTATCCGTCTTCCATAACTTTTACCAGAATGTACAAATAGACTCGTCTTATAGGTTTGATATTTTGGAGCTATCTTTCCGGACTACCTTTATGACAACTTTCCAGATTCCATTTCAAAGATCAAGATTCCAATGCTGACCGTGATGTATTTGAAATAGTTAAGCAATGCAAAGAAAATTTAAAATCTAAGACGAAGAAGATGAAAAGGTTGAATGAAAAAGTCAAAACTGCTTGCTGTAAGTACATTATTTTTATGATAATTTGTAAAAATGAACACTCAGAATTACATGTTCATGATGAGTAAAGTTTTCCTCATTTTTTTCTAGTCGTAGCAAGTACCGTTATGTCAGCTAAGGATAGAGAATCTGATAAAATGAAAACACTCGTTGAAACTATAGAAAACAATTCTGCAAAGGTTATTGAAGACAATACAAAATTGAAGCATATTATTGAAGATCTAACCAAAGAGAACTTAAAGATTTACAATAAAATCGACAATCTTCATAGCTGGATTAACTTGGGATATGAAAAATTACAGAATCTCCGTAATGAACCTGTAGAAGATGTAAGTTTATTTAGTAAATTAAAAATGATATTTATTTATTGTGGTCAATATTACGCTGATTATCAAAATGAGAATCAAAGATGTGAGCAATTAGAACAAAAAACGCGCTTTTACTATAACAAGATGAAACTTTTGGAAAACGATTTTAAGAATGTTACTAATGAAGTCAAAAGTTTACGATATCAGAATATGAAGTTACGATTAAAACATAATGAAAAAAGACTTATAGCGAACACACCAGTACTACTTACTGCGGGTACAGTCAAAAATTCACAGAAAAATGCTTCCGAGGAGAATTTGTCATCGAATTGTAAAAGCAGAAAAGTATCGGAACATTTTGATTTATCATTGCATTTATCCATTGTTCGAAAACTGCTTCACGATCAAAGTACGATGATTCTAAACTTAAATGAACTCTCAGAAGAACTTAATGCATATGAATAATAATTGTAATAGTAAATCACTCACTTATTATTAATCAATGATGATCATAAACTTCAAATTTGCTGAGAATCTGATGTGTATCATGCTTGGCAAAATATCTCAAGTCAAGATACTTCACGACATTTGAAATACAGTAGTAACGTAAGGTAGGTAATAAGACCAACTTGCTCCTGCATACATAAACTACCTTCCAAATGGTCCAGCCGTTTCAAATATTACCCGAATTAAGCTCGAACTTAAGGAAAGACGAGGACAAAAAATTAAATATTAATTTTTAATTATGATTTTTCTAATATTACATACAGACAATTGCAGACAAAAATAATTATAAAGTGGACTAGGAGTTAAATCACACAAAATTAACATTTAAATATTTTAAGTAGTTTATAAAAGTTTACTAAAAAAATTGAACTTGCTGCTACTTAACTAACAATCTTGATAACGTTTATAAATTGTCATGCATGAAAATGTTCGTGAATTGAGTGACTATCTGGCGACAAAATAAACAAAAAAAATACGGCTCGAAAAAGTAAGTTGACATATAAGTATTTTGATAAGTGTTTAAGCTTAAATTTTAAAAATACTTAAGACTGTCTTAAACACTTGAACACTTAAAATACTTTTTATGTTTAAACTTCTAGTTTAAGCAATATTTTTAATCTATTCTAAAAGTCTATAACCTGCAAAAGTTTTGCCGAAGTCACGGAGCTCGGAGCTCAAAACCAAAAGCCAAGCCAAATACTTCTCTGTAAACGTATATCGTTAAGTTTAAATTGAGAGTACTAAAAATAGATTTAATGAATGTTATTTAGGTGCAGAGCAAACGGATTCACAAGGTGCATCAGGCTCACAGAGTTATTGCTATTTCGTTGCCGGTCAGTTGACGCAACCAAAATGTCTTTAGAAAAGGCAAAGCAAGTCGCTGCTTTCCAAGCTGTGGACGAATTTGTGAAAAGTGATTGCATCTTTGGTGTGGGAAGTGGTTCGACTGTTGTGTATGCAGTGCAACGTCTTGCGGAAAGAGTTGAACTCGAAAATCTTAAGGTTATATGTATACCAACTTCATTCCAAGCTAAACAACTCATTATAAAACACAATCTGACGCTCGGAGAACTTGAGACAAATCCTGTGATAGATGTTACAATTGATGGCGCAGATGAAGTCGACTCAAACATGACTTTAATAAAGGGTGGTGGAGGATGTTTGTTACAAGAGAAAATTGTTGCGTCCTGTTCAAAGAAACTTGTAGTCATAGCTGATTACACCAAAGACTCTGTAAAACTGGGTGATAGGTATAAGAAAGGCATACCTATAGAAGTAATTCCTATGGCATATGTTCCAATTAGAAATAAGATAATACAAAATTATGGTGGAGAAATAAAGTTACGGGCTGCAATAGCAAAAGCCGGACCACTTGTCACAGACAATGGCAACTTTATTTTAGATTGGATGTTTACTAATCAAGATCTGGATTGGGAGGATGTTTGTGCATTTATAAAAATGATACCCGGAGTTGTAGAAATTGGTCTTTTTGTGAAAATGTGTTCTAAAGCTTATTTTGGGCAACCCGAGGGTACTGTGTTGGAAAGATCTGCTTAGGTATTATATTTCTAATTGTAAATTATAAGGGGAAATCTCAATCAATTTTATATGTTCCTGTTTTTGTACTGTAAAATAAACATTTTCTTATATTGATGTTTTTTTTTAACAAATCATAGTTAGTGTATAACAAGTTTGTAAAAGAGTCTGCTCTTTTACAAACTTTTATTATGTTTCACCTATCCCAAAGGTTTTCATAAAATTAAATTTGACCCAAATCCCAGTTACTGATTGAGCTTAATTGTATACATGTGTAAATTGTAATACAGTACTTTCTTCAGCTTTTATTACCATTTCCCACTCCTTGGTAATTATCAATGTTTACCTAAAAGCAGTATTTTAAAATATTTAAACCAAGAATTTACTTGTAATAATTTATTTTAAATTCTGCAATAGAATATTATAAAAATCAATATTTCCTAATCATATTTCAGGTGAAATTTATTAAACGCTAGTGATTGGTGATGCTTAAAGTAAAACTTACAATCCATTAGAAACTTTAGACATAGACAATGACATGCTACATGGTAGGTATGCTAATTCTTCTCAATTATTAAGAAATTACTTTATGGTTCGAATTATTTAAAAAGTTATTATAACAAACTGGAATGTGACTAGACATATTAAAAGCTGTATTGTTGCTTACAAAATATAGAGAAAATGAATACATTTATCACAGTCTGTAAAATAGTTTTGCAACAGATTTCTTAACTTATACTATAAGTGAATTTTTAATCTATATTTGTGCGATATAGAGTGAAAAGCACAAATGGTGTACAAAAATAGATCTTAATGGCTTGAACTAACATCTGTTTGACCAACATAAATGATTAAGGCTTCACAACATTCAATATTGCTTGGCTTCACTGTTTTTAAGACGCACTGTTCAAGTAGAGTCGTGAATTAGCTACTAAGAACTATTCATTATAAAGTTCATTGGAGTTGAACAATCACCAAATAAGCTATGAAATTTTAACCATTTCAATAGGAAATTTTATATTTCAATTTATTTGTTACTTTACTTAAACATTGTTAACAGGTTTCTTAGTGATATTATGTGAACTCATTTTAATCTTTTGGTGGGAAAAGTACAACTTGATTTTCCTGTCCTACTATGCAAAATATAAATATACATCAAATGTTCATCTATAAAGAAAAATGCATAAAACAATATATTCTTATAGATCTACTAAGCCATATTTTTAAAACTAAAACCTTAAATGTACACAATACAACATAAAACATTTTGAACTTAAATTCTTTTGAGAATTGTGAATAGATCTATTAGGCTTTTTTTCTATTTGTTTTAATTACTAATTAGTATAATGAATTAAGAAAATAGATGCATTCCTAAAATTAATACAAACTAGTTTTTTTCATTATTCTTAAAAACTCTTCTTGATTAATTTCCCCATCACCATCTCGGTCTGCTTCATCTATCATTTCATGGAGCTCTTCATCTGTCAAATTCTCACCAAGCTCCTTTGCAACCCTCTTTAAGTTTTTAAAGGAAATTTTGCCTGAAAAAAGAATATATCACATATCAGTAGCTACACTGAATGTTAGAATTGACTGTTTTTTAATTAAATGTAGATTTATGAATAAGTATTTGATATTTCAAAAACTTGTATAAGTTAATATTATTTGTTTTTAGTAGCAAAGTGAGAGAATAAAATTGTAATTTGGTATTTGACTAACATTTATTGTAAAGCAACTATAAAATTATTATATTACCAGTTTCATCATCATCAAAGAGCTTAAAAGCTTTCATAATCTCCTCTTTAGTATCTTTTTCAGCCATTTTTACAGTCATTACATCAAGAAAATCTTCAAATGCTATTTTCCCATCACCCTTATCTATTTCTGCAATCATCTTTTTGATTTCTTCCTTCTTTGGCTCAAAACCAAGGGCTCTGATCGCCACTTTCAATTCTTTAGTATCAATTTTTCCTGTATTTTCAGTATCAAACAAATCAAATGCTTCTTTTATATCTCGACGCTGTTCCTCAGTCAATTCAAACTTCGGACCTGACTTCTTACGTACTCCACCAGGTGCAGCATTATTTGAGTTCATACTTTTCTTTTGTGAGTTATTCACCGTCGTTGTCTATAACGTAAAAGCAAATATTTCTTTTAAACAGTTCTATGTTTGTAAATATAAAAGCAAAACTGAAGTATGAATAAAAATACAATAAAATGGGCATGTAAATAAACCGTACAATCTAATATTTCAGATAAATATAATCAGTAAACGATTGACTAAACATTTAATCGGACTTACCATTGCGATGTGTTATTGCCGGTGATCTCAGTATGTTGCACTAAGTAGTAAGTCGACTATTAGTAGGTAAATTTCTATAAATCTTGACGTTTACTATTAAAAATAACGAAATTCCTCAACCCTCTAAAATGAATATTAGGAAATAATCAAATGTTAAAACTAAAATTAATAACGAGTCGGAAACGTCAAAAGTTAAATTGACAACTTCGAGTTTGACAATATTTTGAAGGGCCTGGCTACGAAACTTTTAAGCTTTAATTTTTTTTTAATCGCAAAACATGTGAAAAATGCCTTTACTCGAGTTATACAAAACCTTTCATAAACCCGTTCTTTTATTACGATGAAATGTTGAAACGTAAAGTAATACAAGATCATGTTTAGTAAAATAATTTTATTATTGCTTATTTTATAAATAACATGTCACGATTTGATTCGACAATGATAATATTTAAATTGCATTAGGTTATGATAATTACATATGTTCGGAATTACATGGATAATTATAAATACAATTTTAATAATAAAAACATATGTTTGACGTAAATAACTTAAGCTATAATATTAACATGTGATGACCAGGTCATTTACTAAAAACAAATTGTTTCTGCTGATATAATCTAAAGATCTATTAAAAAAATCTATTTTCTCTGAGTAAATCTTCAAAATGATTTGTAAATGACATTTTTAAAATGAGTAAATTTCTATTAGTACTTTATATAAGATACAAATTGTTTATGTGCTAAAATATTTCTATCATAGGTATTTGAAATCGCAGATATAAGGCACTTACTTAGAGTTATTATAAAACTTTGACATTATAGTGACCAGGAATATAAAGACTTCACCATATTCAGAGAAAATATACAACTACTACAAAGAACATTATATCATAGATAGATTTAAACAAATACAATTGAAGCGTCCACCGACCCAAGGTTTTTATATTTTATCATGCAAAATCCATATACATAACGAATATGCTACTTTTATATTAAAAGTTAAAATATACTTAATAATTACTTTACCATTACTGTTCAGCAAAACATGGAGGGGGATAAAGTGAGGTCATTTTTTAAAGACACTATATCCAAGTTTTTTTTTTTCATATCAAGTACATATGCAAAAGGACGTTTGGACTTGTGGCGATGTATCTGGCAGGCGAAAACCTCGACGACGCGTGTCAGTTGTCGAGGAGAAAAGAAATGTCATTAGGACTCGAGACGTGTTAGTAAGAGGAACGTATGTTAAAGTACTATAAACATATGAGTCTTTAGACTAATTAAAAATATGATTATTGCACTCAGCATTTTATTCATTTTTGCTGATCGTAATTACCAATTAAGTTACTCCCTACAATATAACCTCAAAAGGCTTCTACCATATTAATTACACTTATGCCTATTAATCACAGAATGTACATTTTTAAACCGGTTACATTCAATAAATTATATAATAAATGTGTTAAATGCCGACAGAATCGGAGACACATTTCACAAGTCAATTACGTGTGTGTTTTATAGGGGGAAAAAATGTCATCTAACATGAGAACCATATCTCGTATTGACACGTGCAGATTATGATTCCGAGTCCAATTACTGACTTAAGTTAAAATGTGCGTGTTAATGTGCAGCGGGCAGCGTGCCGAGTGACTTCATGAGGTGGTAGCAGTGCGGCAGCCGGCTGCGGTGGCCGACTCGCGCCAGCCCGGCGGCGGCCTGCGCCAGCATGCCAGCGCGCTCGCCTGGCGCCGCCAGCACGCCAGCAGGCAGGTGCTTGCACGCCATGTACAGAGCTACTGCGCGCTCGCCCTCCCCGCTGCCGCCTTCCAGCGCGCGCTCTGCAACAGTATTACATCAAATGAGGGGCTTAAAGAAATTTTTTTTTTTTTAAATGCTTAGAATTTAAATTAACGCTTAGTAAGACTGAAGAATGTTTGAAAAAACTTTATTAGGTGCTTATGTGTTCTTTCAGATTATGTTCTACATCTGTATCAGATTTCAACGAGATCCGTGGAGCCGTTTTCTGGATATTTACAAAAATACCCACGAATCCGTCTGTGTGGAATTACAAATAAAATTTTGTAAGTTGTCCATGTGGTCTTCCCGACTTTTCGGACCGTTTCGGAGATACTTCGTTACAAACATCCATCCATCCAAACTTTTTGATTTATATTAGTAAGATTAGTATGTATGATGTACCTTTCCCGCATATGATGGAGGAGCGGTTGAAGCGCGGGCGCAGAGAGCCGTCCAGCAGCAGCTGCGTGCGGCGCGGCGCCGCGCCCGCCATCATGCGGCACACCGCCGACTGCAGCAGCACGCGCGACGTCACCCACTGCGTCACGCGCACAACATAATACATACACACGTTTCTCTTTATTTTCTACTTTCTATGTAGTGAATTTTACATATTTATTATTTCGACTCGTCGTCCGCAAATTTCTTAGCGCGGAATTTAAAGAAAAAGTGGTCGTCGAGTGAAAGATCTGCTAAAATCGGCCCAGCCATTTTTTTTTTCGACTATACATACGGACACTGCAAATTTTTAATTGAACTGTTTATCGAGAGGTTCTTAAGATGTTTATTTTCATTCACCGATACGACTGATATTAAACTATTTTTTTATATCAAATGAGAAGTAGCAAGCGGCCACTTGAATCCGCCGAAATGGCGAAGCGACCGCTTCTCATAAATATTCGCAATAGCGGATGCGTCGTCTACTATTGATCAACGGAGGAGGAGACGCACATAAAGAAGATATTCCTTCCTATTCGTTTCCTGCACCGTCAAATCCACGTTCCCTTACCATCATTTTCGTATTAAAAAAGGGTGGGCAGGAAAAGGGACTAAAGTTAAATATGAAAACTAGTACAGAGGTGACACTGACCGGCAAGGTCTGCGACAGCCGCCTCAGCGAGTGCAGGTCGCGCTGGAAGGCCTGCAGCTGCGCGTGCGGCGCCGGCGCGCCCGCCGCGCCCTCGCGCGCCTCCCACACGCCCGCGCGCACCTCCAGCACCCAGTCGCAGCACAGCACCTGCAGCAGCTGCCGGCACACACTTCATACACATCTCTGTACCGGCTGGGGCTCCACTTCTTACCCGTCAAATTAAAATATTATTAATTATTTTACGGTTTACTCACGTCGTACTTTTTTCCAGTGTCGGAAAAAATATGACGTGAGTAAGTACGGGTGGTGAATTATAAAATTTCTCACGAAAGTTTAAATAATTTAAAACAATATTTGTAAATACAAAATTTCAAAAATACAAATCTTTCCTCTTCATAATATTATATTAGTTTAGATTCTCTAAGAAATTTGTCTTCAACGCTTTCACATCTAGCACAAAAATTTGTAATAGATAAATACATTTCTCATTTCCACGTTTGTGTTAACGCACAGTATGCCGTTGCAAAAATCTAATAAAAAATTCCTAGATGACCATTGCTATGATCGAGGTGTCCTAGAATTTTAAAACTGGCAGTAAATGTTGGACATAATTTTTTTACACCTAATTTTCTTTTTAATTCTCTTCATATGTGGAGTAAATGGCGTTTCAAATAAGAAATTAAGATGTCTGTAGGCAATAGTAGTAACAGTTATAAAATAAAAACATTGCAATAAAACAATAACATAAAGATAATAAAATCAACATAACTTGCAGCAAAATAAGGAACCAAAACGATGAAAGCAACTAAAGCGAGAATTGCCTTGTAGTAATATTGCACAAAAACGGTAACAAGTGCAATGCAACTACAATGCACTCCCGCAATAGTCAACAGCCGCCTCCAAAACAAACGTCTTCAGCGAAGCTACATTAAAAAAAGCTGTCAAAATAAAAATAAATCGGCAAATTAAAAAAAAAGCGAAATAAAATGAAAAAATCAGTAATTCTAGCAATATTTTTTAACATAAAAAATTGTAATGCTTATTATATACCAATTTTTCATACAAATATCGAGACTAAATAAATAAAAATATATGGAATTTTATCTTACCATCATAAGTTGCGTTGGTTTTCTACAGCAATAATACGCCAACGAGTCCGCTAGTCGGGCTCCAGCAATATCACACATCTATACACAATAATTAAAAAGATAAAGGTTAAATTATGGAGTAATTAACACACACACTGCCACTACCATTTTAATATTAAACTCCAGTAGGTGGCGCTTAAAGTGTTAACTTACAAGACCAAGTACAAGTTCAATTATTTTGTACATCCTTCAAAAAGGAGAACCTAATATAAATTGACAGAATAAAAATATATTTTTTAAATTATCTTGTGTTTGATTTATAACAAGTTTCCAAGTTCACCGTAGATTTACACATTTTTATAATAAACTCATTTAATTCATACTAATACAAATTAATAAATTTAATTACACAATTTATAAAATAATGAGGTTAAAAATGTTAAAACACTAGAACAAAATCATAAATTAAATCTTTAAATCTATGAATTAAAAGTATCCACAGTAGAAAAAATCACATTAATCACACTATATAGATAAAAAAATATAATAAAATGGAGTATTAAACGTTAGTAATAAAAGCAAGGCACCTTGAGGATGGTGTGCGCGGTGGTCTCCCGCTGGCGGTCATGTGGGCAGTGCGCGAGGCTGAGCAGGCCGCGCCGGCTTTTGTACGCGGCGTGCAGCGCCCTGACACATTGTTATTACTTAACACAATAGTTATAATAACCAAACCTATAAACTATGCGACTGTTTATAAAACAATATCCAACTAGAAATTCTAACTCCGCCTGTGAGAAGCGCATCCATTCAACGGGCTGACTGATTATTAGATCATTCGTTTTATTTTCGAATTCCGATGCGAGACAATCGATTGTTCACTAAAATGACGATAGTAATATTTTCTTCGATAGATATTAACAGTACTCCGGCGATGTGTGACGGAATAGAATTTACGCGGATTTTACCAATAAAAAAATCTGAATGCGGAGGAACGATGAGGTACATAATTTTATTTATATTAAAGTTTTTTTCTTACTTTATTACAGTGTTATACTCTCTAATTCCAAAAAGTATTTTTTATTTATGTATTCATACCCCCGCAATACAATCTACGCGTAAGATAATCAAGTATTTTTCCCGAAAAAAATCCTAGATTCACTATTTTACATTACTGTGAATTTTAGCGTTTACAATTAGTTTTTTTTTAAAAAAACAAGTACAAGAGGACACACAAGAGAGGGAGAACTGGATGTTGCTCCATCGACAAGAAGATAACTTTATTAAAGAAGGTAAGAGTTTCAAGCCTGAACGGCTGAACGGATCTTGGTGAAATAAGGCGAGAAATGTGCTGTTCCAGACTATCCTCTATATCTAGAGGATAGTCTGGAACAGCACATTCCAGACTATCCTCCTCCTCCTCCAGATCCTCCAGACTATCCTCTAGATATAGATATAGTCTGGAACAGCACATTTCACACACACACAAACAAGAATCCCGCGCGGACGGAATCGCGGGCGAAAGCAAGACCTAAAATAAAAGCATTTCAATGAAATGATGCGAAAAATGTACAATTTAATTTATTACAAAGGTATAACAACCTACTTTGTCGCATCATACATTATCTGTTACTTCTCAAATCGCTTTTCGAGAATACTAAGACCCGCACAATAGGCCAGGCCTGTGTCGTGAGGGTTTTATACTGTACACGGAAGTTACATTTTAACGTCCGGACAACGAGGCTCTTTACTTGATAGGTTTTGTTGTTGTGAAATGTATAATTGTGTAGTGACCTGGGCAGAGGGTCCTCGCAGAGCGCGAGGTGTTCGGGCAGCGCGTGCAGGCGGTGCGCGAGCTGCGCCGCGCGCGCCGCCCCGCCCAGCAGCCACGCCGCCGCCACGCCCACCACGCTCGCCCACCACTCCATCACCGGGTCCCAGCACCCTGCCCCCGCCAACTTCATATTGTACATTTGGATGGATGGATGTTTCTTACTAAAGTATATCGTAACGTTTAATGGGTCTAGAGCTTCCACTTTTAACAGGAAACTCCGCTTTAATATATTCGCACCCGCACAGAAGACAGACTGCCGTGTGTTCCGGAGGCCTAATTTTAGTTATTTTCCCTTTCCACCCTTATCTTACAAGGGAAGGATGGGATCGGAATGTGGCTTTGACATTGCAAAAGACGTATAGAAAGTCAAAATATTCTCTTTAAGTGCGTCTGTCGATGAGGTTAGGAAGCGCATCTGTAATTGTAGATGTCTATGGATAGCAGTTGTTTCGCCATTTTCGCTGATTCACCTCGTTAGCCAACTCATGATATATCAAATTGCGATTTGGCACATTTATACATCGATATGTTGAAGCAAATAGTGATGTTGAAGTAAATATGAGTGGTAGAGACCGGTGTGTTGTGGCGCGTCGGTGGACACGTCGTCCAGGATGAGCTTGAGCAGGTCAAGCACATCGCGCGTGCTGCTGCGCTCGTCCGCACTCAGCAGCATCTGCAGGCTCTGCTGCAGCACCTCCACGTGGTACGCCTGCACACATAAAATACGTTTTAACAAGTCACTGTCACTTAATTATGTCAAAAATACGTACTTTTCAACAACAAAAAATATTTGATCTTACATTTGTGACATACGACGTCACAATATGTCAAAGGAAATATAGTCTTAATTTGTACAAACAAAACGCCTTCTGGTGTATTTAGTAATTTCATTATTTAGAGGAACCATAGTTATCACTTCACTTGAGATATTTTTCACATCATTCTCTCTAACGCTATTTATTGATATCCTAAACGACCAATTGGCGAAACTAGAACATATTTGTATGTTGTGATATTTTTGTAAAACATGTCTATACAAGGACGTGAGGTGGCGAACTAAACTTCACTACTAACATAGTACTTTTCAAAGAAGTTACCGGTGAAAAAATATTGTTCCCTATATCTAGTTTACATATTTGTTAAATGTGTTTGGTAGTAATGTAGTTGTAGCACTAACCCGCATGGCGTATGCGAGGGGGTCGGCAGGGCTGTGCAGGCGGGAGAGCAGCGCGTGCGGCGCGTGCGGCGCGCGCTCGTAGCTCCAGCGGCGCGTGCGCAGGAACTGCTGGCCGCGCGCGCTGCCCGCCCAGCGCAGCCGCACCGGCGTCTGCGACTGCGCGTCCGCAGTGCACCACCCGCACTGCCGCAGGTAGTAGCTGACACAGGGAAACATGCCTTCATCTATACTATTCTATACTAGTATTATAAAGAGGAAAAAAATGTATTTCGGAATGTATTTGATTTACGCAATTTTACTACTGGGCCGATTTAAAAAATTGTTTCGTCGTTAGAAAGGAATTTACCTGCGAGAAACATAGGCTATATTGTTAAATTTCACATGGACGAAGTCGCAAGCAACAGCTAGTACTTAAATAAAACGATTTGTACTCCTATGTAGATATTTCTTCAATTAGATAAAGAAATGATATTAAATCTTCCTATTTCTCTTGACAATATAAACCACATGTAATTCATGACACTGATATTGACATTTTAGAGTAAAAATTCAAGATTTAAGATTAAGTAATACATGGATAGGTTTTTAATTTCCTATTAAAACGTTCTTATATAGTTCAGAAACTCACCCGCACAACCAATTGCCGATCTTAGGCACGTAGTCCTTAAAGACGAGTGCTGCGGTGACGTAGGTGTCGGACATGAGGTGCCTGTTGCCGGCGACCTCGGCCAGGTTGATGGCCTGCAGCGCCAGCAGCACGCGCTCGCTGCGGCCGCGGTGACTGGACAGGATCTCCAGCTGCGCCAGCCGGTTGGACACGCTGGCCACCTCCGCCGCCCAGTGCCGGGTCGCGCGCCTCGCGGGGCTGCAATTACAATTTATTTATTTATTCATAACGTACTGCATGATTAAAATTCACAACCAAATTAAGTATACTATAGACAAAGAAAAACAAAAAAGCAGAAGAACACACAAATGACAGGTGTACACAGCATTTACAAATGATTTTTTTTTTAATAACAAATGTCAAATAAGAAGATTATCACAATTTATTCAGTAAACATTGGTATTTGAAGTAACGTACAGTATGTTGGAGTAATATACAGACCGCAGCGTTAGTTGCTGTAGGACGGTACGCTCCATCGGTGGAATAACGACCGCATGTAGGCGATAAGTCGTAATAATTTCGAATTTTGTGGATATGTGTCTACTGGAGGCCAATTCTAATGGTTTTTCCTATACCGTTATTATAATAAAAAGAAGCGGAATACGGAAATTGGTCTAGCAGGTTCTAGGGAGTCTAATTTGCATTATTCTTCTTCTCTTGTACAGTCAGTTGTATAAACCTATATACATTTACAAAATTTGAAAAGCCTTTATACTTTAGTCCCTTAAATGTTAAAAAATGTTAACGTCAAATGGACACGAACATCTAAAACCTAAGGCTACAAGATTAAAGAACTTTGTTAACCAGTTCAAATTGATGCAGCTGACTGTACATTGTTATTCAAGGTATGTTTAGTCGGCGGCTGAGATGACGTATGATAGAGTTACGTGAAGGACAAAAGCCTGTTGCGCCGACCCTACGGAAGTAGGATTAGGACGATAATGATGATGATGATGGTGATGATGATGATAATGTTTAGTCAGCTGTGGTGTTAACCTGTCAGTCCAGAGGTCGCCGGCGCGCGCGGCGAGGCAGGCGGCGAGCGGCAGACGCTGCAGCAGCTGGCGCAGCGCGGCGGCGGCCAGCGCGGAGGCGCGCGCGCCCGCCTGCACGCTGCGCCCGCACACGCTCAGCGCCGCGTGCAGCTCCGCGCGACACTTACTTAAGTCACCCTAAGTTACAATATAGACCACATCAAATTATACTCATTTAACATTAACCCTTAAATGCATGATGATGAATTTATACATCAGTCTTCTGTTCCACACTCGATAGAGTATTTAAAAGAATTTTTTTCTTAATATTTACCTTGATCTATGTTCAATTTACAACCCGTTTCAATTTAGGGTATTTAAAAACAAAAAGTCATGCATTTAATGGTAAGATTAATTCCTAAATACTTGTATGCTTCAATCTATGCTAATAGTATAAAGAGGAAAGATTTGTTTATCGTATGTATTTAATTCATGTAAAATGTGTTTGTACATAAATAAATAAATTAATAATAAATATACGTTGTCATGGTCTGTATTTTTTGATGCCTTTATAACTCCAATAAGTCTGGATAGCAAACACAATTTTAATACACTGTGTATACTAGTTACCGATCAAAAATTTTTGTTCACTATGTCTCCTCTATTTATTTCTTAAATGTGTTTGGCAACTCTATATAACTCTCAATACAAGCATTAAAAATACTTTGGGTACTACCAAAATATAAAATAATGATAATATCAGTAACTTTACCTTCTTTAAATAATTATCCGCTTGATGTTTATGTTTGTAAAAGAGACCGGCTTCTTTCGACTGCGATTTCGGTACAGAATCTCCATATACCAACAACTTTATGAGGCACAGTGCAAGTACCGCAAAGTTCAGTAAATATATGAAGAAGTTATTAAAAAACCATGGACCCCAGGATGTTCCAACAGATCCTGAAATATAAGAAATAAAAGAAGTTAGAATAATCTTTTATTGTATCAATGAGTTAACAACTTTTCCTTTCATTTTCTAAATTACAACTATAATCAAAGTTCAATCATAAAAGATTACTTACCAAAATTTTCATCTGACAATATTCTTCTCTGATCGATTCTAGTTGAATAGACAGTTGATGTTGATTCAAACATAAAAGCTCCGAAGAAGGCGCTGAATGGATTAAAAGCAATCAAACCAACCATAAATGCACAAAGTGCTAGCCGAGAGTGGTCACCCATTCCGATAACCACTTTAGAATATTTGTCCTCAACCTGAAAATGGTAATAAATAACATGCTTGTAAAATATAATTTTTTACATAGCGTTAAGCATGTTAACAAAAATAACAGTTATTTTTAATAGTTTTTCTAAGGCATAGCCCTGCAAAACATTGTATTTATTGTGAAATCTTTTAAGTGTTTCCGTGTTTAGTCGTGCCAATTTGTCCATTAATTGGGTTAACCAAGAGGATTTCTTACCCATTGGCCTGATAGAATCTATACAATCAATCGACTTGTAGGTAAAAAATTCTATTTTCATGGATCGCTAGATCGGTGGAAAACACCCAACCTTTTTATTGAAAATAATAATGCAACTTCATAAATGTGATTTAAAGTGAAATTCTATCTATACAGTCACAAAATAACACATAAAAATATAAATAGGTACCTTGAATTCTGGTGAAGATGGTGAATCACTGTCAACTGAATGCGGCGATTGGTAAGGTGAGGAAATATCACTATGCGGTGGAGTATACGCTCCTTCCAAAACTGGTTCCTTAACACCAGACTTCTGACAAGCCAATTTTAACGCTGTATTCTCTGATTTCAACCTGGTATTCTGATTTTGTAGATACTTAATGTATTCTATTGTCTTTCTTAATATTGCAGATTTGTTCAACTGAAATAATGAATTTGTAACTTAATTATGGATGTGATATTTGTATAATATTATCTACAATTTATCTATAAATTGGCCACTTTCATCCACATTAAATTAAAAAATAGTAAAAAAACGTTTCCTCTGTCACTGACTGGTAATGTAGCTTTTTAATGGGTCTATAATTATTGAAATCGGTTCAGTAGTTTTTTAGTTATTTCAATACATGCAAAAACACAAATCTTTCCTCTTCATAATATTACTATAGATTTAATTTCAATGAAATAAAATTGTACCTTTGCATCTTCCCCAACCAACATATTCTTCAATTCAACAATCCTATCATTAATACTAGTTCGATATCTTCTTTCAATAGCATTATGCGCACTTCTCTTCACCTCTTTAACTTTTGGTACACCTAAATTTGCCTGGTTCAATGCAATTTTATCTCCATCAAGAACTACGGGGATCCCAGTCAAAACCGTAGGAGTGTTATTACTTGCAAAGAATGTATGTATGGGTCTACTTTCAGTAGCAGAATTTGTATTGGTCAGAATGCTTTGAGTGGTGGCTGAAACAAAACAAGAAAAAATAGTTTCCACTCATTTTTATTATAATTATACACTTAAGATATTATAAATTATAGCAAAGTATTGTAACTCAACTTACCTTGAATTGGTTCACTAGTGTACATCAGTGTTTGTGTTTCTGGATTTATTATATTAGATCTCAAAATAACTGGTGAGTAACTTGGATCTTGAGTGTTCAGAATAAATGGTGTCACAGTCTTTGCATTGCTCGGTAACAAAAGTGGTTGATTAGGTTGATTGGTTTTACTTGCTTGAGTCAGTTGTGTACTTCCATCGATAGGAACAAATGATGTTCTGCCATCGGGAAATTGTTGTAAATTTGCTCTAGTAATGTTCACATATACAGGACTTTGAACAACTTGTTGAATAACCATTGGTTGCTGTGCAGTGATTTTCGTCTGGCCATGCTGTGTCACATCAGGTAATGGTGCTACATCTCTACTGTATACACCCAGTATTGGACTACTCTTTGGTTGTGGAACATTATGTGAAGGTTTACTAGTTTGTGAGTATTGAGAAACTAATGGGTTCCCATTATGTTTAGGTTGAAGAATTTGCTGCGGTTTTGTTTCAACTTTTGCGTTTTCAAGACACCAATCTAAACTCGGACTATTGTCCACCAATGATAGTTCTTCTTCTAATTTAGACATAAAATCCCCATCGTACCCATTAAGAAAATCTGAAAACATGCAATAGTTACATCATATTCGTTGATTTTAAAGATTTTTTTAGTGAAGAAAATAAATTACCTTCTAATTCAGTTATATCATCTGCATTGAAGACATCGTTAGTAAGAAGTAGTTCCTGGTCCATTTTAATTTATTTTTGAATACTAAATTGATTTTTTCTATTTATCGCAACATTCCAGAAAACTACAATTTTATACCTTGTTTACGTTTGGGACTTTAAGATATTTTGACAGAAATGAATTCGCCAATCAAAAGCAAGGTTGAAGTGGTGTGATTCTTACGCACTCATTCATGATTCATCAACAATATTTTAGCAATGTTACGAAGAAACACAATGATAAAAACCAATTACAATTTATTTTGTAACATTTTATTACCATTTTTCACTTTGGTCATTAATTCAAGTCAATACTTTTTGTTAAAATTAAATATTTTGCTCTTTTGGAGTTTTAGAATTCTCATCTTAATTTGAACAAACCAAAAGTTAGTGCAATAAATCCATCATAGATGGCTCTTATATATATTCTGGAAGCTCAGTGTGATGTGACGTTCATTCGTTTTTACGGGAAATAAAATTTAATTTTGTGTGTCTGTTTTACTGATTTTAAGGGTGTCTACAATGTAAATGTTGAAACGATTGAAACTTATAGGAATATAAATTTCTTCACATACATCATTTAAAATTGTGATCACGGTATGTTTATTATTTTATAATATTCTATGCACTGGAAGTATTTTATACGGAGACAAAACTTTACACCAAGACATTACTTATGATGTTTTTGACCGACTTCCCAAAAGAAGGAGGTATTCAATTCGTCGGTATATTTTTTTTTTATTTTTTTATTTTTGTAAGTATACAAGTATACATTGCCGGCAATAAATAAAGGTAAGTGTAGTATCTAGTAAACAAAGGTATATACCTCCTTACCTAGGTAGGTATATACCTGAGTCAAGAATATAAGCTAAAATATAAATAAGAAAAGTTTAGATCCTTGACCCATCCATTAAAAATCAGTAGTAATGTTTCTAACAATGTTATTAATTACCGCTAAAACAGCAAGTCCTGTTTCAAATAAATGTATGTAGGTATATTCTTGTTAGAAAAGTAATGTCACTTTCTATAGAAGGCGATCTTTTTACTTTTGAATACCGATTTGTTCTATGTTTGATACTATTTTTTTCCAAAACCATTTTATTGAAAATAGTTGACGACCTTAAGTTTTAATTATTCTTTGTAAAAATTGTTTATAACAGTTATTTAGTTCAATTTGGAACACGTATATGTCAGCGCCTAGTCATTGTTTACTAGCAAATTTACTTCAACAATAAGAACTACATTGTGTAGCTAAAAATTATCCACATTCTTTATTACATATCTAATATTTTTAGTAAAGATACAATTTCATTGAAATATAGCTTTAATATCAGTCACACACCCTATGCCATTATTTTCTTGATGTATGTCATTGTGACAAAGTTAATATGAATTGGACCTCGGTCTTTTTGCCCTACAGAAATCCTCTTGGAAATTACTCAATTTCGTTGGTAAATTTATTATAATGTAAACGGCTTGATTGTTTTTGAAAACATGCGTTTTTGTGAGCGTCATATCGGAAACCTCAGGTTTATTAATAAATGCCTAATTTCTAATTACTCCTATTAGAAAGTACGTCAAAAAATCAAAACAACGAATAAGATATTAAACGTTTAATTTATATATGTAACATTATATTATCTGTAAATATAGAGTTCTTATTATAATATGTAGTTACGAGATAAACAAACTCGCTTTAATTTTAACTAATTGTAAACATACATAGCCAACTACTTAAAAATACATAAGATATTTTGCATTCACAACTAAAATGAACTCTAAGTGCATAACATCATACTTAATATTATATTTATAGGCACAAAATAGGTATTAAAAATCACATAACATCTGAGTTAGTTAACAAAACATTGAGGTATATTATGACTGGACAAACATGAGCGTAACAAAATTCATTCATGTGTATCGAATACATGCGATGTACTTTCCTACAGGAGACTTGTACTCTGTTCTAATAAGATTTTATACATTGAAAGTGAGTACAGTGCATCTTTTGGAATGTCCATAACACGTCTCTAAACGAAGGCACGGTACTACGTCGCATCTCCGCGGTGTAGCGTCTGCCCAACACCCGACCAACTTATACATACACATAAGTAAATACTAACTCGTATCTATGGCATTTTCAAACTAGACTACAGTAACAAATCAGTCTTCCAATCAATTACCAAAATAATAAGTAAGAATAATATAATACAATTAACTTAAACATATTATCAAATGATTAACATAAATGTAAATTTATTTTATAGCAGTTATAACATATTTTCAAAATATAATATACGTCTAGTTATCGCACTGTAATCTACAGTTAAGGTTGGAGATGTGCATTAAGTTATTTTTTATAATTTTAAAACATTGATTGCGTAAAATCTCTAAATTAATTATTACGTATAAAGGTTTTCACGAGTGAAAAATATCAAGTTATCTTTTCATTAAAATTATTAGTCATTTAAATTATGTTAAAATATTGAGCATCCACACCTACTTAGTGATTAAACACGCTAACTCTAATAAGAAAGTTCGTGCGAGTGCAAATCAATCGACGACAACGTGAATACAACTAGGCATCAACAATGAACAATTATGGCAAATCGCAAACAATTACTATTAATCTTAAACCACAACGTTAGGAATTATTAGTTAGGTATTATAAATACGTCGCTTGTTGTAGTTGTATGAGCGCGCACTTAGCACGGTGCGCCGTGACGCCACGAAGACGTCGCAGTGGCACCGCACGGTGCTCCGACTAGAGCTAATCTGCAGCGAACGTGAGGTAATGGCGGCGTTTCAGTCTATAAACATCACAGTCGCGGACAACAATTGCACGATAACACGTCGGTAGGGCCGGTGAGGCGTCTCGGCGCGGCCGGCGCTGCCCGCCCCACCGCGCCCTTCCCGGTCCTAGCTTCGATTATGACAAACTTACTCGCTAATTAAAGCTAACCTAATCGCTAACCCATTAACAAAGACGTAAATGTTATAAAACATAAAAAAAAAACCAAAAGAGAAGAAAATAAACAAACAAAATCACAAAAGATACGCCACGCTGTCTGACGGAAATTTTATTTCGTCGACTGCTTTGATGACGTTTAGAAATAAATAGAATAGAAGAGAGGTAGAATATAAGTGGCCGCGGGGCCCATTGCAATCGCCCGGCCGGAGCGCCCGGCGGCAGCCTAGCGGTCGGTGCTTACTCTAACTTTGTACGCCTAAGTCAGTCTTTTCGAATGTTCGCAAACGACTTTAGCGGCGATTCAATCTCTTTCGCTGCTGCAGTCGAGCGCAAAATTGCGAGGCGGCACTATTACCCCGGCCGGGGGATCAGTGTCTCTGCGTCGCGCAACCGAGAGGTCCTCGACGTGGTCTTCGTCGGGCGGTGGCGTGCGTGGCG